AAATGAATGTATGGGGTACGATGGTGTACATTCTGTGACGTACGGCCTTGAATATTATGATGATTGCCAGCTTTATATTCTTGTGCAAAGCCAAAAAAGCAAACAATTGTCTCCAATCTACGAAACTAGTTTGTAAATTGTATACCCTGTCAAATTATTGTACACGAACGATTAATTCATGGGGACATAGTTTTCAAGTAAATTGTTTTCCGGTCTTTTGCTTGTGTCACGATTTACGAAATATCCACAACTCAGGGGAAAAGAATGTCCCTGTGTCGATCAATTTATTCATTATATAATAGCAGGTTGCCTATGATTATATTCGTATTTTTTATGTTGTGAGCATTAAACTGTTAGTTGTATTAAATGAAGATTTTGCAGATCTTGTGCGATTCAACATGTACATCCATTGTTTTTTAGTTATTTTTTTAATATTTTGGATATTTCATTCACTCCTGACGCCTAGAATAGTCTAATTTATATTTTACCGTAGTCATTGACACCTATTCATAAGTTAGCTGCAGTTCTGTAGCTCAATTTGTTTCGCTGTCGGTTATTTCGTTCGTCGTGGTGTTAACGCGAAACCATGGAGCTACAGTTCCATCTTATGCGAGTTACCCTATTTTACCAAACTGAAATCAGGTCGGGCTGTAACAGCCGTTTATTTTTCATTATTTTCGCCTCAAGTTTCTACCTTTCTACTGTTGATCAGAAACTATTTCATCAATTATTTTCAATTGTACCAATGATCTGAAATTTCAGGAGTGCAAGCTGAAGGTTTATCAATCTAGCTTATTGTCTTTGTTCTTTTTCCATCAGTTACTAAAATTTATACTCCTAAAATTCGGCCACTCAAAAAAAAAAACTAATTCTATTTTTCCTCTAATAATTCCGCCACTCCCAAAAACAATTATTTTTTGCTCAATGAGCCTATGGGATGGGTTTCTGTCCTGTGTCTGTCGTCCGTCTATCTATCTATCTATCTGTCTGTGCACAGCTTCTTCTCAAAAACCTTGATGAGTGTAGATGGTAATTTGTTCATGAGAAGTAGATCTGTCAAAAATTATGCAAATTAGCCCCCCAAAACTCTACTGTGGCAGTCTATAGTGAGAGCTCCATCTATAGTATGGTGTTGGAATAACTTTCTTTATGAATAAGTCTGTGCGTCCCTGTGTCGGTCAGCTGGCGGTTTAGTGTGTCATGTTCGAATTGTTTCCATCTGTGTGGGCAGGTAGATTCTCCTGTTAAATCGACTGAATTCCTTCCAAAGACTGACTATAGTGGTTATGGATGTTGTGGAACTCTTGGGACAGACGAAATCGTGTTTACGTGGAATTTAGTGACTGGCAGAAGTCTTTTCCAAAATTTGTGGTTGTGTTGATCGACCGCAGAGGTTGCAGTCTGCTGTTGCCATTGTGTTGAACGAAACCGTGGTTGAACCAAGTATCCAGGTTCCTGTGAGTACAATTGTTGACATTTTGAGTTCTGTACGCCAGTATTAACTGTTTCCAGTAGATCAACTCAACCAATTATGTTGTCCTGTCGAGATTTCAACTAAAGTAAAGACTGTTCTTCATTGTGGAAAGTCCCGCCATTCGTATCACGTGACTTTCTGTTGTCGACATCCAGTCGGACTGACTTGTTTACCGTCTCAGATATCTACCAAACTTTGATTCGTGTGACATTCAGCATTAAGTAGAAAGTGCATAAATTGACTGTGACACTGTTGTGCATTTCCCGAATCTACATTGTGATCAAACTTATTATTTTCTTATTATTATAAAGTCTGCATTTAGTGTAATTCGCCTGCACTGGCATTGCGTAACCTTATCAAGCCAGTGTGTAGTTTGCATTTTGCATGATATTTCCTTACCGATAATTATTTTGTGTCGTATACATTTATTTAGTCCAGAGTACTTTACCTGGATTGTGTATTTTACTATACATACATACATATTGTGACTACCATTCTGGTGAGTGATATTACTGAATACCTTAAATTGTGTCATTTTGGTATTCACTTAAACCAAACTATTTCTGAGGTATCCTATTGTTATTGTTGATACTTGTAGTGTTACATGCATAATTTGGAACTTCAGCCTGCTTTGCATGTTTAAAACATTTTGTATTTTGGATGTCTTTAGTATTCAGTAGTTGAACTCAAGCGTTATTTTATTATTGAATACATAACTATTACTATTTCAGTAATCGTGTAGGAATTATTTGTACTTCCTTATTGTTACGGCATTGTAGATGACTGCATTGGTTGTGTATTATTTGAGCACAAAAGTTGCATTATGATAGTCTTAGTATTTTACAGTTAAGCTAATGTATACTGTTGTATTTAGTA